CCCTTGCCTTCGGAGAGCCCCGTTTGGGGATGAGCACCCTTTGGAGGGGCCTGGAGGGTGTGAGGATGGCGGCAAGCAGCCATGCTCCAGGGGCCACGTAGCTTTGGGGGAAAACTACACGACAACAGTGTTTGTTCGGGTGTTTTTTTCGGTTTTTCTCTTCCCTGCAGAAGCAGAGGCTGTGCCAGCAGGGCTGCCCGCTGGCAGACGTGTTTACCAGGCTGCCCTCGGCCTGGCACAAGGAGCAGCGTGGCCGTGAGGTGCCCGGGGCACACTCGTCACATCAGGCCCTGTGTGTGTGTGTGCTCTGACAGGACCCCTGGGGCGGTGGCTGAGGAGCCGCTGGCGGAGAGCAGCTCCTCTACATGCAAAGGCACATTTTAAGGGCAGAGCTGGCACTTCTGCTGGCAGCGTTGGAGAGTCTGGGCTCCTTGCTTTGCTCTCCCGTAGGCAGCTTTTTACCTACGCTAACCACCTGTGTCCAGGCCAAGTTCTGTGGGTGTGGAGGAAAGGGGAGCACTGTTGCCTTAATACATCCTTTTGGATCAAAGGTTGGGTGGCATCTCAGCTGGTGGAGCTGGACTTTGCTTTGCGCTGCAGCTGTCGCAGACAGGGCTCAGGGCACCAACGTGCTGCCTCATAGGCTCTGCCCTGCGTACCCAAGCCGATGGTCTGCAATCTGCTCTGGTGCTGTGGCTCCAGGCACTGGAAGTGGCAATCTGCTCTGAGATCTCCGGCCTAGCTCTGTCTCCAGCATTGGTTGCCTTGGCTCGCTTAGGAGCAGCTTTCCAATGCACAACAGCTTTGCAGCTGGGAGAATTTATGATGTTGGTCATAGAGGCATTCTTTTTTTTTTTTTTTTTCCCCACCCCTAAAACTTTGTAAATCTCCTGTAAACTTAAAGGAACTCTTTGGGAGCAGGAACTCCTTGCACTGGACAACTCCTCAGGTTGAAACTCACAGCTGAATTTTGGCCAGAACCACCCTTTTCCTGTAACTTAAGCCCATCATTTCCCAGTACTGGCACTGGCTGATGATCCTGGTCATGTATCCCAGCCACTGCGAGGTCTGTGGCTGAGGTGATCCAGTGAGCTCCTTATTTCTACAACATCCCAGTCTGATTATTCCATCTCAGGGAAGGGGGTTGGAGCAGAGCATGTGCTGGTGGACAGACAGCGATAAGAGCATCACTGCCCAGCACAGAACACCCCGTCCTTGCTGTGCTCCTTGCTCCAGTGCCAAGCTGGTGTGACTTGGGAGAGGTTGCCCTCTGTGTCTGGTAGAGATAGAGCTGTTTATCTAGCGGTGAAACCTCTTGCAAGAGCTTCCAATCTGGTAAGCACACTTCATTAATCCTGGAAAATCAGAGGATCCTAAAAAGGCTTCTATCACAGGCTGTGGAGCAGAGCACATGAAGCTGGGGACTGCTGGCTTTCGGGCTCAGGCTGTTACAGATGCACTGAAAAGTCACACTGCCTCTCATTTTTCTACTCTCCTTGTGTCTGGCAATGAGTGCATCAGATTTACAGCTCTCTGCAGCTGTGACTGCACCAAGTCAGGATCATTCCTACCAGCAGAGAAGCTGCTTGCAGGGTTGGATGGGAGTAGGCCTCATCTGCTTAACCCTGTGGATGACGTGGCTGGCTCAGGGCTGCCAGTCACCCGGTTCTTCTTTGCTTGCTCTGAGCTCTGCCCCTTTGCCTCTTTCAGTGTCTCAGGCTACATCTTGTGCAAGGAAACGCTGGCTCCTTACTGGCAGGAGGAAGTTGGATGGTTGTTCTTGAGTAATGTGTAACCAGCCTCTCCCAGCAGCTACTGACTGAGCGGTGTGACTTCCAGAGCAGTGACCTGTTTTTTGGTTGGCAGTCAGAAGGGAGGAGAAGTGGGATTTAGGTCAGTCTGGTGGCATGGCATCCTCCATGACCTCACCGATCCATGTCACCCTGCCTCTTCTGCCACCTCATTTCTTCACCTGGACTGCACTCCTGTAACCTCGGTGCAGGCCCGTGGTGCTCGGGAGCTCTGCAGCCTGTGCACCTCCCTGTGCCCTTTCCCTGGGTGCAGCTCTAACCTTTGCAGGAAGTTTGAATGACGGGGACTGATAGCAGTGGTGTCACTCAACTGTGTCACCTGCGGGCATTGGCCTGGCCTGAATTCCAGTGTCAAAGCCAGCACCTGGGCGGCCTACATGGCTGGGTACCCCACGGAGATATGAACCACACTGTGGGTAGCAACAAGCTGGGGAAAGTCACATTGACAGAGATGTGTAGTTGAAGAGCTGATGGCATGGGTGGGGATATTTTTGGAGAGCAGATGCGGGGGGCTGCTGCCAAGCCAGGATGAGGTGCTGGCCCAGTGCTCACCTCCCGTCCTGGGTGACAGGAATGTTTCCCAGGCTGCTGGTGCTGCGCAGCTCTCTGCCAGGACCCTGTGATGGGGGGAAAAGCTGATGCTGTCTCTTGATCTCCTCCTGCAGGGAGGAAGGCTTCATCCCCTGTCTGCCAGGGAGAAGATGGGCCCTGAGGCAGAGCATCCAGATGCTTGCTGGAAGGCAGGTCAGCTCCTGAATCTGCCCTAGGGGAGAGCAGAGCTGGTACCTGTTTCTGGGAGCTTTGTTCGTGTGCAAGCTCCTCTGCCTCCTGTTCCGGCAAATGGCTGCTCCCCTGCCCAAAATAGCCCCTGTGTGCTGCCAGCTTCTGGCTGTGTCCTTTGGCCGAGTTGGAGGGTCCCCAGCTCCCACCTGTCTGGGGGTGGCGTAGATGGGCCCTGCTCCCATGGGCTGGCAGGTTCTCGGCTGGCGAGGCTGGGCTGGGTGTGCTCAGCAAGGGCATGGCAGCCTGCTCGGTGCATTGGCAGGGCTGAGCGGAGCTGCTGGTGTCTTCTGCCAGCTGGGCCCCCAGCCCTTGGGCACGGGGGAAGAAAGCTGGGAGCTTGGTGGACAGACCTGTAGATCCACTGGGGAAGTGAACTGACAGGCAAAGGCTATTTGCTTGAAGATGGGTTTGCCAGGGGCACCTAGCCTCTGCTAAAGTGTGCAGAGCATGCTGTTTACTGCTTGCATCCTTGCGTTGTACAGGGAAGTCTTTCTCACCTTCATCTTCCTCCTTTCTTGGACTCTTGTGGGGTAATGGCAGCCCATGTTTGTTTCTGTCATTAAGCAGCATCTTCCAGCGCTGCAAGTAGCAGAATTGGCGGAGTCTTCCTTTGGTGATGGATGTGCGAGCTCATACCCCTGTGCAAGGGAGAGGCAGCTGCTAGGAGAACTGTTTGAACAACTTATGGGGCTTTGCTGATTGCAGGAGGAAGACACTGGTAGCAGCGGAGCAGACTATAGCCATGGTATAGGGGGAAACAAGCAGCACCAAATAGGTGGGACTGGCAGCACAAGGAGCGGTCCTTGATCTAGTGTTGAAACCAGTGTCCCTCCCTCCTGGTCTTTGGAGGGCTTCCAGTTTGCCCTCTGTTTGTAGGGCTCTTGCAGCTGCACTAGGCTGGACTTGCATCTTCTGAAGAGCCTGTAGTGAGCCTGATGGTGAGCTGATGCTGTCAGCTTGAAGGAAGCATGAACCATCAAGTCTGGCTGTACTAGCCTCAAAGTTACAATCAGCTTCCCCCAGGCTTCCTGTAAAATTCCCCACACTGGGAGTGAACAGGGCTTAGCATGCAACTGAAGCACCTTCAGCAGATGGGGCCATGCAGGACAAACACCTGGGTGGACCACAGGGCAAGCGAGACTGGAGGTTCTCTGTCACAGAGCTCTTCTTGTCTCCTTCCACCCACCCTGGATATAGCAGAACCTGTCACCTCCCTGCCTTGCTGCTGACTGCTCTTCTCTTCCACAGAATCATCAAAACTGTGGTCAAGACCTTCAAGTATTTCTTCGGCCTGAGGTTTGAGGTGAAAGGACTGGAGAACTTTGAGGTGGAGGGCCCTGCTGTCGTTGTGTCCAACCACCAGAGCATCCTTGACATGATGGGTGAGGAGCTGGTGGAGGGGAGGGAGGGAGGGAGCAGTTCTCTTGCTCACCATCAGAGAAATCCTACTTGCATCTCCTGGCCAAGCAGCCGCTTGGCTGATCTATGCTGCCGAGCCAGCTGGCCCAGCTTTCTCTGTCAGCGCTGGCTGCAGGAAGGGTCTCCCTGCACTCTGAGCAATCACAACCCCATGCAGCAGCCCAGGTACAGCTCAGCTCCCTTTTACATCCCTGCCTCGCAGATAGCCTGGCTGGCCTAGCACACGGGTCAGTGTGCTGGGTAGCCCTGCTGAGCACCCTGGGGCCAAGGAGTGAGCTGCCTCTTGAGGGGTCTTGCTGTGGCCTGTGGGCACCCTGCCCCTGTAACTCTGCTGTGTGCCGAGTCTTCTTCTGCTCTGTTGATGGCAGCAGAAGCCAGCAGAGGAGCAAGGCACTGGCCTGTCCCTGGTCTTCCCCTCCACACCTCAGATCGTGTCTCTTGTCCCATCTGAGTGCAGGCAAGGGGGGTGACTGCTGGGTCTCACCCTCTGCCATCACGTTAGGGCTGATGGAGGTCCTGCCTGACAACTGTGTCCAGGTGGGCAAGAAAGAGCTGATGTATGCCGGCAGTGTTGGGCTCATCATCTACCTTGGTGGCGTCATCTTCATCAACAGGAAGAGCACCAGCAGCGCCAAGATGGTGATGGCGGAGGTGGCCAAGACTATGGCAACTGAGAACGTGAGTGTGACTCTGGTGCTTGGTGGGGTGACATGTGTCCAGGCATCCTGGGGTGGCATGGGGGGAATGTTGCACTCCTGGTGCTGGCTCGCCTGGAGTTACAGCCACCTGCAGCTCTTGGCAAGGCTGGCTGGTGGCTCGGCCAGCAGGAAGGGAGCACTGCAAGTGGATTGCTGGAGCAGAGCCTTATCTCCCCATGTGCAGGTGAAGGTATGGGTGTACCCAGAGGGCACGAGGAACTGCACTGGGGATTTGCTGCCGTTCAAGAAAGGAGCATTTCACCTTGCTGTTCTGGCACAGGTAATAGCGCTTTGCTCCTGTATGGGGACCCTGAATGCTTTTGCAGTGACATTGCAGACTGGTCATGCAGTGGTATGGTTTATTTGCTCTCAAGTGAGCTGTGTTCCCAAGTCAAAGCTGAGCTCCTCAGCTAAACCACCTTTAGGTGTCATAAGTGCTGCCCAGCAGGAGCTGAGAGCCTTTTCCATCCCCTGCAAGAGTGACTTGACTCCTGTGGATGGGTGGCTGCAGGCAGAGGAGAAGCTGCCTTGTCCTCTCTCCTGACCGCCCCAGCGCTGCAGTCCTGGTGTCCCGTCTGGAGGGCAGAGCATGGGGGACAGCCACACTTGACCCCTGAGCTCTGGGCTTTGCAGGCAGCTGCCTGGCAGCGTGGCGGTGCAGTGTCCGTGCCTTGCTCCTGGGAGCATGGTTGCAGCACAGACCTTGCTTCCTGCAGGGAGCCCAGTGAGTTCTGCAGTCAGTGAGCTTACCTCGGGAATCCCAAAGCTGTTGATGCATTTCTCAGTCCCCCAGGTTGCAATAGTGTAGTGTTGATTCAGGATTGTTAATGCTAGTGCTTTAGAGCAACATCTGGGCTTGCTCTGTGTGGAAATTGCAGCTCCCTCCGACAGCCATGTCTTGGTGTGTCTTAAACACCTTCTGTCTCCAAAATGACAAGATCCATGAGCAGTTAGTGGGAGAGCAAACAGCTCCTTGCCTTCAGACAGCTAGATCTGTCGGTGCTCCTGAAAGAGCGGTGATGCTTGCCTGGGCAGAGCTCTGGGGCAGTGTGCCAGGGACGCTGCAGACCTGGCTGTGCTGCCTGGGCCCAGGCGGTTGCTGGAAGCTGGGCCACCCTGCTTGGCTCCCAGGTGCTGGAGATTAGATGCCAGAGAGGCGGCTAGGAGGAGATGGGTGTCTTGCCTTCCCATGCACGCTCTGCCTTCCTTCTCAGGACTGGGATGACTCGAGGCCTGAGGGGAATCTGCTTTCCCTAAAAGAGATGTTATAGCAGGGATCCTCGAGAAGGCAGTAGGTGCCAGATCTCTTGCTGGGTTTGATTGGCCAAGCCCAGATGTAGCCTGCGTTGTACCACCCTCACTCCTGCCAGGGTGATGCAACCAAGGCAGGGACTGGCAGCTGTTAGAAGGAAAGGACAACAGTAGAAGTGGTACCCGCCTCTGCTAACACTCCCCCCGAGTCACCGACTGTAGATCATGTCTGTGTTATCAGCACTGAAATAATGACTCTGTGCCTGCCCTCCTGGCTGTGTCTCTGCTCGTCTGAAGCTTCCTTGGGAGCAATCGATTGCAACTGGTGACTCTTTTTCTTAGAAGCTGAAGGCACACCAGCTGGCCTGCCCTAAACATGTGCTTGTACAGCGTGGCACAGCCTGTCAAAACAGGCATCCTCCAATGTTTGCAGGCCAGAAGACACCTGGGTTTTGAAGCCTGGCTTGGGATGCACGGCTTCGAGAGCCAGTGCTGACCTGAGGCTGAAGTGTCACTTGGCCCTAGAGCCTTGAATGCCCCTGTGCCTGGAGTTGCCCGGGAGTGGTTTTGTTCCCATTTGACTCCTGACTGTCCCAGCCTTTGGAAGTGGGTCTTGTTGTGGGGCTGTGTGTGCCCTCTGTGTCTGAGCCAGGCCAGGTCAGCTCTGTTGCGTGGGATTTGTTGCTTACCTCTGGCCTGCCCTGAGTTGCTGCAGTGGAAGTAACTCCTCTTCTTCCTCCTCCCAAGGTCCCAGTGATCCCTGTGGTGTATTCCTCCTTCACTACATTCTATAACCCAAAGAAGAATCTGTTTACTTCAGGTACCAAAGAGGCTGAGGGTCTTTACAGTTACCTGGAGACAGGGTTGATGCCATACCCATGTGGAGATCTAGTTCACAAGGGTGCGGGAGGGAAGCGGAGCTGGGGTAAACAGGAATTGTCCCTCTGGGAGATGTGTGGAGTCAGTTCAAAGCACTTGGCACTAGAGCCTGGGCTGGGTTAACTCAAAGAATGTAATTAAATTTGGCGAGGGAGGTTTTCATTAAAAATTGGATGCCACCTCTCCTTCTTAGAACTGGCACAGCACAAGTCCTTTGGTGAGGGCTTGGGCGAAGAAGCAAGCGTGCTCTTCCTCCTCACCTTTCAAAGCAGGGACCTCTGCAAGCAAAGCAAGGACGCTGGTCATATCAAAGCTCTGAAGTCTGTCAGTACAAGTGCTGGGCAGAAAGTTGGCTTTCAGTCAACTTGGAGCAGTAATTCTCCTTTCTGGGAGGAAGCCATGCTTGCCATGTGCCCCGCTGGATGGCTGGAGCCAGCCAAAGATAGGAGGGTTGGACAGAAGCAGATGGAGGGAGCACCTGGTGCAGGCTGTGCCCAGCACGGTGCTGGTGCCGAGTGGGTCCATGGCCTTGGCCTCCCCCTACTCTCTTGGCTGGCAGGTGGGGGGCAGAGCAGGGACACCAGCCTTGGAAAGGGGCAAGCTCTGGCTGGGGTGTCACAAGGGAAATGCTCTGCTTGGCGCAGCTGTTTGAGGGCAGGATCTAATCCCCAGAGCAATCTCTTACCCCTGAGACCAATGCAGCCTCTCTCTGCGCTTCAGGGCTGGATGCCTGAAGCCCTGTGAGGGGATGAGAGCTGTGCTGGGGCTGTCCAGGGTGGGGGGAGCAGGGGCCCTGGGAGGGCAGAGAGTGGCGCTCCTGTGGCGTGTGGGTTTCTCACAGGCTCTTCTCTTGTTCCCAGGCAAAATCAAGGTTGAGGTTCTGCCTCCAATAGAGACCAAAGGCCTGACATCAGACGATGTCTCTGACCTCACTGACAGATGCTTCCACACCATGAGGGAGACCCTCTTCAGGCTGTCACGCCATCCAAGGGAGGTGAAGGACTCGTCCTAGATGCTTCTCCAGTGGCGTCACTGTGTGGTGGTGGCTGAAGGGACCTGTCTGTTGCCAAATACCGAAGGAACTTCTCTTCCTCTGCAGTGACTTCTGACTCTGGGAACACCACGGACTGGCACATGTGGGGTGTCGAGCCAGCACTGAGGTTCCCCGTTGAGTGGATTTCTCTTATGGGTTCATTATCTTGCGATGAAACGTCTCCTTTTTCTGAATTTCTCAGGCATCAAACTTGTGCTGCCAAAGGGCTCAATGACCAGAGAGGTGAGTTCCCCCAGCTCAGGCAGCTGGCACGGGGTGACAATGAAAACCTGGCTGGAGGCTGGGCTCTGCCTCAACCTGAGTGTCCCTGCACCCGTGTTCCTGCAGGCTGAGCTACTGCTGGCCTGGCCCTGTGCTGTCCCAAATGGAAACCACCAGGCAGCAGTTTGATGCACAACCTTGATGCTGCTCAAACAGGGCTCAGAATCGGGTGAAAATCCAGACCCTGGCTCCTTGGCAGTGCTGGGAGTGCGGTGTCCTCCCTGGGCAGCTCAGAGCACTGCCATCCGGCATGGTGATGCTCGCGGGCTGGCTCTGGGGCAGAGCCTGTCTCCTTGAGAGATGCCCTTGTGTCACCACAGCATCTTGTGCTGGGGCTCTGCACTGCCCAGGTACTCCTGAGCCAAGTCCTTCACTTCTGAAGGAAACACCTAGGGCCAATAACCTTAGCTGGGCAGGAAAGGGGAATGTGTGGGGCCAGTCAGCCTTATGGTGTCTCTTCAGGCTTGTTTGCCTTGTCTGAACAAGTGCCCTTGCTCATTGAGAGGTGCAGCAGTGGAGAGGGAAGCTGCAGTCTGACCAAGCCAGCATATATGGTCTGGGCAGAGTTTAGCTGAATGCTGTCCAGCCTTGCCAGATTATTCATCTTCTGAACAAAACCCCATGCTTGTTTCTACAATTCAGAGCCACCAGCTTGATTTTTAAAAACTGCAGAGATCTGTCAAAGTCCTGACATGTGAGTTGTTGGTGGCACACGTCTGGATGCCGTGTGTGACCTGCACCTGGGTTGGCTCAGAGCTTCCTTGGTGTTGGGGAAACTGCTGCCGACTCCCTGCCGTGGTGGTGGTTCAGCCTGGTCGCAGCAGGCATCCTGGTGCCTACGGTACCCGTTGTAGATGCAAAGGGCTCTGTCGTGCTGGTTTTGTCACTTGTCATGGTCAGCACTGGCCAAGAGATGGTGCCTATCCTGCATGTCTTTGTGCAGATCTCAGTGGAGCTGCTGCTCTGCAAGGCTTGTAAAATTCCTGCAGGGTGGGTGAGCTGCAACTGTAATGGGGCTCTGAAGGCTTCAGCCCTCCCTTAGGGGAAATGGGCTCCTTCCCCTGTCGAGATAAAGGGGTTTCCCCTGTGCTTTGGGGTGACGGACTAGCAGGGCTCCTGAATCCCTCGCTGGGAGCTGCGGAAGTGTCGATGCCCTCTGTGAAGAGCAAGGCTGGGTCAGGTCCGTCCGTGGTTCTAGGGGGTAACCTTCACCTCTAAGTTGGGTTCAGGGAGGCTTTAGCGCTCCTGTTCGCGGCGCAGGGCGTGTAACCTTGCGATAAGCTCCCTGGGGCTACTTGGGTAACCAACACAACTGGCTTTTGCAGCCTGTCCGGGGCTTTGTTGGTGGAATTCCTGTCATATGGCATTTGGGGTTAATGCCTCAACTGGGAAAGGCAGGCAGTTCCCGTAGAGCCCTCGGGCCGAGCTGGTGCTGGTGGGGGCCAGGGGGCTTTATCAGAGGGGCCTTACAGTACAGACTCAGGGGTCAGACCTGCTGTGGGACGGGTCGGGGTGAGGGGATGGGAACTGAACCAGCACTTTGTAAGGGCAGCAGATAAAGGGCTGTCATGGAGGTTAAACCCAGCAGGGTCCTGGGAGGGCCTCGGGGGGATAACCACATCCCCTGAGTGACTCCTGCAGGGTCCTTCCCTGGGAGGAGTGACAGTGCCTCTGTGTGCGGTTGTCTGCTGTTCACTTTTAATTGGGTTGAGAATAATGTTATGTGCTTTAAAAAAAAGAAAAAAGTACACCTTTGGTTATTTTAAATAAAGGAGACTCCTGGTCTTGTGTGGGAGCTGGGGGAGGAGGGCTGCTGCAGGAGGAAGAAGGGTGTTACCAGTCAGCTCTTGCAGGGGGTGGGTTTGGTGATGGAGGGGCAATGGCAGGTGCCTGTGCCCCCCAGGCAGAAGGGCTGTGCTTTCTGCACCCCAGCCTCATGCTGAGCCACAGCCTGGCCTCAACTAGGAGGCCAAATGCCTGGAGGGGAAGGGGAGGGTGGTGCCTGTGTGGATGGGAGCCCATGTCAAAGCAGGGCCCTGGTGCAAGCACCTTCCCAGCTGGTGACGATCCCGCAGCCTCAGTGTGTGCAGCAGGAGGTTTTATTTTGGTACAACCCCTGCAGCACCCCCTTGCCCACACGGCTCCTCCTGCAGCTCCACTCTAGGCGAGTAGGAAAGCGTTGTACCAGGTTGGGCACGTCTGCTCTGCTGTACCAGTGTCCTTGGGCTTGAGCAAACAGTGCTGGGGGGAGGTAGGCACATGTGCTGCGGGCTGACAGCGCAGCGGCTGTCGGGTCTGGGAGAGACCGGTTAACCCAACAGCCGGTGCTCCTGCCTTGCCAGGCCTCGGTTCCCCAGTCCAGGCGTGCGGAGGACTGTCCATCCCTGCTTGGCCTTGCCCTGTTGGCACTACTGGGTGGCACAGGTTTGTCCCTGTCTGCTCTGTGCTGATGATGGGAGAGTCACAGGGAAAGGTTTTTTGTTAAAGCAAATAAAACCAGACTCTGCACCTTCAGGCCCAGGTAAAAGCATCATCCTTGCTACTGCTCTGTAGGGCACAGGGATGGTGCAGAGGGCTGTGAGCAGGAGCAGGTAAATTCAGAGCAAGCTGCTGCAGCTGCCGTGCGAAGAAGCGGTGAGGCACCAGCCCATCTCCAGCGCTCGTGGAGGGAGGCTGGTCCCAGAGAGCAGAACAGAAGCTGCAGGGATGGGCACCCACTCCCTGTGCCCAGCCAGCCCAGTACCTTTGCAGGGACCAGTTGCACCCCTCCCCTGCCGTGATGCCTGGCTTGGCCTTTTTGGCCACAAGGCCTTTTTGGCCGTCGTCCTCCCAACACAGGACTTGTGCCCACCTTCTTGGGTGGGAGCAGCTGTCCTGCCCGGGCCAGGTCTGTGCTCTGCTGGGCGGGCAGCACAACCAGCCCTGTGCCCCCTGCTCCCTGGGAGGTGATGTCCCAGGGCAACGCAAAGTAAAAACCAGGCAAAGTGAAGCACCACACGGCTTCACGTACGGCCAGTCTCTGGCACAGCCAGACAGGCACTAATGGCACGAGGTAAGGCATTTATTTTCTGCCTCTCCAGCAGGAAGAGGGTGAGATGCTGAGGGCTTGGAGTCCAGTTTGGAAGTAACTGCATGACCTTTGATAAGGTGAGCTGGAAGAGAAAACGATGGAGATGCTGATGGGAAACCAGCCTTCTCCTGCTACCCTCTGCCTTCCTGTAGATGATGTGGCTTTGTCCCCAGCCTGGGGCTGGACAGTGAGATAAGAGCTACGGATGCACTCGGCTTGCTCCAGTTCCTCGGGCGCTCGGCTAGAGTTCATTCTTGCAGGAACCTGGGAAGATGGGAGGAAAAAAACCAACAATGCAGCAATGTTGTTAGCTTGGGTTTGGTTTGTCTCTGTCCCCAAGAAGGATGAGGTTGACCTCAACCTCTGCAAATGTCACCCACACTTGCTGCTTTCCCTCTGCCAAACAAGCCCAGGCTGGCTCTGTCCTGCCACATCGGGGAGCGTCCCTCTCGCCTCCCCAGCACGCCACAGTCCTTGTCTGGGCCTGGGAAGTCCTGTGCAAAGCGTCCCAAGACGGGAGGGAAAGCCAGTGACAATAATGCTGGGAGGCTGGGACCAGCCCGTCCCCACCGCAGACGCAGCCAGCGGCTCTGTGTGACAGTAATCGGCAGCAGGCACTGTCGGTCACCAAAGTCCCCAGCGCCCCGGGAGCTCCATGGGCTGGGGAAGGGTCCGCAGAGGGCAACTGCGGCACGGCCACACGGAGCTGAGTCTGGCGTGCTGGTAACTGGCTGTGCCACAGCCCAGCACGGACAGTCTGTGCCGAATTGGGGGTAATTCAGGCAGAGGGGCTGAAATGGTTACGACTTAAAGAGATCTGCCCTTGTGCCTTCGCTGGTGGTTTAAAGAAGATAAATTGGTTTTTAGTACTTACACGCATCCCCACTGGGCAGGTAATTGGAGAGTGCGGTTGTATCTTAGCATTCAGTTGTGAAATGCTTCGCACGGCACAGAAAATGGATGGCTACTTAACTCTCCGTGGGATGCCCTGCAAGCCCCAGTGCTTGCTGGAGTACCGAAGTTCAGCCTTGTGTCCTCCAGGGACTTTCAAGACCATGACAGGGACAAAAACAAGTTTTGCTTGCTGGAACAGGCTTGGCAGAAGTTAGTTTCAGGACTTTGGAGTCATCCCTTGGAATAAATCCATGTTACCTTGTGATGCTGCTTGCATTCCTCAGTGCTGTCACTAATAATACATACAGGGCAGTAGTAGGAAACTCGGTCTGCTGGAACACTCAGAGGTTCTGATGATTACCCCTTTCTGAGATGTTTTTTAAGTGTCTATTTGCAGCTACTTAGTCTTCAAACAAGTCCTTTGAAGTCTTTTATATCTAAGCCATTACTGCAAGCAGTGGACTGGGACTGGATATGCCCTGAAACACAGTTTCCCCTTAAGTCTTTCCAAGCACCCTCACCCCCCCTGCCACCAGCACCAGGCTGTGGCTGCACAGCAACTCCCGGGCCGGCCCAGCCATCCCTCGTTTCTGGGCCCTTTTGACTGGAATTATTTAATGGGAAAACGAGCTGCAAAGAGCTGCCTATCAAAATAAAGTGTTGGTATGGTTTGTGCTCTACTCCGAGTCAAGCTGCAGTGCTGCAGCGAGAGCTCTGCACCCACCTCAGGGACCCGAGGGGATGCTGCCCCACGCTGCGGTGCCGTGGGGGAGCACACCAGGCAGGACCCCCCGCCTTCAGCCATTTCACACGTGACAGCTCTCACCAGTGTCTCTTCTTCAGAGTTTGCTACTTAGGAGACCCTCTCTGGTCCACTGCTTGGCAAAGGACTGGTCTGCGGACTTCAAAAAGAAGTGCCTAAAACTTCCCAGGCTCGTAAATCTGCCAACTTCTGCACGCTCCCTAAACTTTCCCGATTGACTTTTTGGACTGTTAATTTCCTAAGAGCTGGGGTTTCTTTTCTAAGGACTAATTTATAACGGTACAGGAAGAGAACACAGCCAGCAAGGGTGCTGATTGCGAGACGTGACCCGCTGCTCGTAGTGGGCTCCCTCTGCTTCTGCCCCAGAGCCACATTTCCATGTGCCGATCTTACGATTTTTGGCTGCTACAAGGGCAGTCAGATGGTGCAGCCATAGAAACAGCTTTGAAATAGAGCTAACGGGCTATTTGTGTTCACCTTTTATTAATTACAAGCTGCTGAGCTTGAGGGAGATATAGATTAATAGTGGCATATGTGTTACTGATCTCGCTGGCCCACATCTGCTCACCGTGGCCAGTGTGGGTGGAGTGAAATACTTCAACCCCCACTTTCTTCCAGGCACTTACACGTCTCCAGCCGCTCCTCAAGGAAAGAGATCTGCTCGCTCAGGGAGTCGATTCTGTCCAGTTGCTGGAGGGAGTGGGAGAGCCGGCTGATGGGGTCTGTGCCGACGTCCTCCGGCGCAGATGGCATGAGGTTGTGGAAGGGGGCTAGCACCAACTGGAGTTTGGGAGCCGTGAGCGTGTCCTCTCCAACCAGGAGGACCACCCAGTGGGATACAGCACACTGCCTGCCGGGCTGCACCCCACTGGGCCGGCACGCCGGCCGGCTCACAGGGCTTTGGTCGCATTCAAAGGGCCACTGGGCTGAAAGAGCTGCTGCGTGGGCGCTGCCGGCAGCATGGAGCACAGCTGGGATCGCTGCAGCCTGAGACCAGCATGATGTTAAAAATAGAGCCGGGACGGAGGGAAACCCTGGCTGCGAACAGCCCGGGTGGGAGCTGGCTGAGCGCGGCCTCCAGCTGCAACACGGCAGCGAGGGCAGGGCAGAGGTGTGTGCTGAAGGCTCACCTGCTCCAGCGCTTCCACTCTGCTCTTCAGGGCTTTCATTTCTTCCTTCATTTCACTGGGGGGACCTGAAAAAGTGACCAAGAGAAGGTCAGTGAATAAAAGCCCATTGTCCGAGGTGAAGTGGAAGGTGCTGGGGAGAGACATTGCTGCAGGGCTCAGGCCAAGCTCTGCTGCTTTCTGCTCCCCTCCCAGTGAGCCCCCGGGGTCTGCCCTGCTGGGACCAGCCCCCAGACCATCAATCGGATCCAACACCTGCGGCAAGCACTGGCATCTAGTCCTGCTGCTAACGTGCACAAGCCTTTCCTTGCTGCTGGAGTACCTGCAACACAGTGGGGAGTTTTTCAGGAGGTGGGGTGATGCTTAAAGGATAAGACAGCTGGTGAAGCCTGGCCTTTTGTGCCCATGTTGTCAGATCAGTCAGCACCCGGGTCTGCCCTGTCCCATGGTGGGCACAAAGGATCGTCCCTGCTGAGGGCTCTGGAGAGGGGATAAAGGCCGGTGGCTTGTGGGACACGTGCAGACGGTGCCCTGCTCTCCCAGGCGTTTACTGTGTGATGCCTGTGCTGGCCACAGCGCATTATTACTCACGGTACGAGTTTGAAGTGTCACAGCGCGTACCAAAAGTAATAATGGGCCGTCACCAGCGGTGCCAGCCGCTCCTTGTGGCTCCGGAAAAAGCAGAGGAGGATGGAGAGAACAGCCACATCCCGGACACCGCACGCCACGGCCAGGCTCTGTCACCCTTGCAGATGGAGCAGTGGCTGGATTTGTGCACAGGGGAGATTGATTGGGTGGTAGAGGGACTCCTGGGTCACTGAGAATAAAGCTGAGGGGTTCTGGCTGTTGTCCCCTCTCCTGTCTCTTGCCACTCCTGCTCCAGCCACCCTGTGATGCTGAGTGTTAATCCCAGCCTTCAGTGAAGGCCCCGAGCAGCCAGGGCTGTCCTGCAATGAGGGGACAGGTTACCTGCTTGGCTGACGGGTTCCGGC